GGTTTAAATCTACCAGCTGCTCCACAGGAGGAAGAGGGACAATCTCCTAAGATTTACAGCCTCAGAAGCCTGATGGAAGCATGTCAGGAATCAACAGTGGTAGGTTTTTAGTCCCTGGGCGCACACATGTTTAAGCACTGGCTGCTAACCAAAAGCTCGGGCTGGAGTTTGCCCAGCGGTGCCTTGGCAGAAAGTCCTGGCAAACTACTTCTGTAAACTAACCCCAGAAAACCCTGTGGAGCACAGTTCTGCTCAGACACACGTACAGTTGCCATGAATCAGTGTGTCTGAGGGCAGCTGGAGAAGAGCTGCCTGACCCTTGCTCTGTGAAGTCATTTATGGGCCCTTAAGATGTCCTGCCTTATGGGAGTGTCTGTGCCTGGAGGCAACTCTAAGATACTTCAGTCAGTCCCAACCTCCGCAGGGACTGATGACTAAAGATGTTAGGTCAGTTTCCATGAGGGGCTCCAGACTAAAGGCCAGCTGCTCAGGCAGACTCTGAAATTTCTGGCCAGTAATATTGCACATCATCAGGCATTACCCCTGAGAGGCCTCTTACGGGAAAGAGCAGCTGGAAGCTTCAGTCTGTGCCCCTCCCAGGCTTTGTGCCCTCGGCATTTCTTCTTTGGTTCATTCTACTTTGCAATTTATCTTTTCACTGCAATAAAGCTCTAAGTACAGCACCTTCCTGAGTTATGTGAGTCATTTTAGCAAATTATTAAGCCAGAATGGGGTTATAAGGGCTCCTGGATTTGTACCCAGCTGAAGTGAGAGCAGTCCTGGGAAGCCCCAAATTTGTGGCTGGTGTCTGAGGTGGGACCTGTCACCTGACTTTGTAGTTTGGCTAACTTATGGTTATATGCCATCAAGTCACTTTCAACTCAGAGACCCAACATACAACAGCTTGAACCCTGCTCTATCTTGAGCCAGTTTCATTGTCTCTGACACACCTATCCCCATTACCCCAGTCAATCCATCTCATTGAAGCTCTTCCTCTCTTTCTCTGACCCTTCACCCTCTCAAGCATGATGTTCCTCTCCAAGGACTGGTCCCTCCTGGCAACATTCCCAAAGTATGTCAGACGGAGCTTCAGAATCTTTACCTTCATGGAACAGCCTGGTTTCATCCTCTCGAGGACAGACCTGTTCTCTTAGCTGTCCTTGGTATATTTAATACTCTTCTCCAGCACTACAGCTCAAAGGCATCAATTCTTCTACCATCCTTAATCACTGTCCAGCTCTCATGCACAGCAAGTAATTGCGAGGATCACCTTAGTATCTAGACTGACATCCCTGCTCTGCAGCACTATGGAGAGGTGCCTGACAGCTGCAATTCATCTTTTGATCTCCAGGCTGCTGGTACCAAGAGTGTTGATTGTGGAGCCAAGCAGCATCTTTTATAAAACATTTACAAAATTTTGAAAAGAATCCATTCCAGGTAACTAAATTTGAGGATCACTGGTGGTGCAATGCTTAAGTGCTTGTTTACGAACTAAAAGGTGAATGATCTGAATGCACAGCTGCCCTGCAGGACAAAGATACAGCAGTCAGCTTCTCTGAAGGCTGTGTGTGCCATCTCATAACCATAGCTGACCCTCCAGCAGGTTTTCAGAGGCTGTAAATCACACAGGAGGAGACAGTCTATCTTTCTCCCACAGAGCTGGTGGATTCGAACCATGTGCCTTTGGATTGAGAGCACAATTCCTTACCACTAGGTCACCAGTGCTCCTTCCCTAGAATACAGCCTTGGAAACCTTGTGGAGCTTACTGTTGACCCTACCGCTTAGGGTCCTATTGGGTCTCGATGACTTGGAATCAACTTTGCAGCAACTGGTTTGGTGTTAGGATAACTATACTTCCAAAAACGGATGGGGAAAACCCCATTTTTCTTAGAATGGCTAGTAGATTCGAACTGACAGCCTTTCAGTTAACCGCCCAATAATTAAGTACCACACTACCAGGAATCCTTTAATTAAACTTGGATATCATGTTATTGCTTAGAATGAAATGGTATTCAAAATAAGTGCCAGTTTACCAAGTTTGAGAATAAAAGTAAAGAAAAATTATTTAGCAGCTTCCTACAGTTCCTTCTCCATCAGAACTGGCCAAAGTTCCTCTTTGAGCAAAAAGAGAATTACACTTTTAAAATAAGAAGCGTCATAATTGTGAGTGCAAAATAGGGAGAGAAAAATCAACTACATAAGAGTGTAGTGTCAGAGGAGGTGGACTCAACCAGGTGGACTGACACAGTGACTTGGGGGTGTCAGACTGTGAGGACGGCACAATATAGGACAGAGTTCAGATCTGCTCACAGGGTCGCTGAGAGTCGTACTCAACTCGATGGCACCTAACAACAATCCATGAAGTGGCTTTAAATATGAATCAAAAAGGCAAACATCTATGAATATCATAGAAAGTCTAACATAAAGACACAATTGCAAATATTATTGTAGTTATTTATTTGGAGCATATTTTTAAATGAGATTGTACCTTTAAATATTATCTTTATTGTCCACCATCCACTACCATTCATTCATCCATCCGTCTGTTCACTCTGCTATCTATACAGTCACATAACCATGAAGATGGGATGGGTGGAGGTGGATGCCAGGAGGTAGGGAGAGGTAAGACTGCAGCTCTAGTGGAGGCTCTAGTGGAGGCGGGTGACAGGATGGGAAGACAATATCTCCAAGTCTGGTAAAGGTACTTGACTGAGGGAAGCAGGGCACCCAAAGTTGAAACTACCACTATAACAGACGTGCACCTACAGGGAGAGGGCTGTAAACTCTCCATTATTATCAGAAAAGCAATTTATCCTCTTCTATATACAAAGTATTTAGTACCCATTATCCTATTTAAGCCTCACAGCAACAATGTGAATTAGTAGTGTTTCCATTTTACAGATGAAAATACTGAGGCTTGGGGGAGGGAGGAGAATATCATACAACCAGTAAGAATACAATAGAAGCCATACTCAAACCCAGAACAGCCTCCAAATCAGGTGCTTTTTTGCACAATTCTATCATAGTCAAGTTAGACTTATCACAAAGCCAAAGTTGAGAGGAAGTTTAGAGATGGAGTCTAGGCCTCTCACTGATAGGTCCCCAGCTAGTATGTAACAGTGATGGGATCACATCCATAGTTTTCTGACAGCCCCCAGGCTTCCCACTCTGTTGCTGTGCCTCAAAATGAAAAGAAATGCAAACATACATTTGGATCAAACAATTAAACAGCTATTCCTTTCGAAACTACAAGGAACCTGCTGGCAATACCACCTCTCTGCTTCCTCCCAGGATCCTGAAGGCTTTGGAGACATGTAAACAAGCTTCTCAACAAAAATGAGGCTTTGAGGAAAATTCATTCAGAGCTGGTGGCCAACATATGAACAATATATGCCTGTTACATCAAAACTGTTCACTTTCTTCACAGAGAAAAAGTTTCTTCACAACGGTTAGCTATATTGACTCAGCCATTATAGAAGTGTAGTCCTTTCTGAAATATATTTATAGTTGGCTTATAGTTGCAAAAATAATCAGATTCAATTCACCCAGCATTTTCTGAGCACAACTAAGTGACAGCCACTGCTCTAGACATTCATTCCTAAGACTAAATCCAAGAGACTTAGTGATACTGGCCTCATTCCATGCAAAGGGCAGGCGAATCAATTTAGTAACTTCATGAAAAGACACATAAAGAAGGGAGAAAACAGCTCCTAGCGGTGACATACAGCCAGCAAGCCTTTCCCTGACTATTCAGAGAGAGCCGCTGGCCTTTTTGAAAGAGCTTCCAGGTTTCTTTTAGCTTCTCATGCAAGATTTTTTTTCTGTGGTGGTAAATAAATGCACCATCCACTTCTGACCACCCCCACTGGACAACCCCACTGGAGCATGATCTATGGGGACTGGGAGACAGCAGGCACCCCTGACATAGCTGTCCTGCCTACAGGGCTAGAAATTCTTCAGCATAAATGAAACTGGATCCTGGGGCTCCTGGCTGTGCTTTCCCCCTTAAATCATGGGCACACACACTTTGTTTTATAGGACATATTATCTGGAGGCCCAGACTATGCATTCACAGTTATAGGAGGTGTCAGGAATTCTGGTCCCTGAAGCAACTTGGATAAATGTTGTTCAAAAAGATCTCCCAAATTTTAAAAATTACTTTCCTATTCTAGAGATTAATAAGCTTGGGCTCGATTACCTGAAAATGTGTCAATCTGCTTCAGGAAGCAGATTCAAATATGATTTAATCAACAAAACCTTGCATTCTATTAGCGTGACTTTTTCCCTAAAAATTCCAGATGTTTCTCTTTTCATATACACATAGGAAAACATTTTCTCCTTCACCCTTGATGCTTCGGTGTCAATGCATTCCCTTTCTCCAGGTCCCTTAAGACACAGCTGCCACCATCCAAGTTACGGAGTATTTTATATGAAAGAAAACTCTCCTCTCAAACAAAAGAATCAGCACAGACTCTAGGGCCCTGACTGGGCCAGGCAGAGCAGGGGGGCGTGCCTTGGGGGAGCAGTATACGGAACAACCCTCCAAATGTAAACTACCTGGAGGGATGACGAGTTGGGGCTGTGGGAGAATGGGCACACGCCATGACTTGGTTTCTTTACTCTTGGGGGGCTGCCAGTCTACAGTGTCTGAAAGAACATCTATCCAGACTGCAGAAAGGAGAGGTTCCAGCTGCTGTAACTCTGACGCAGGGAAGGACTGCACAGGTAGCCCACTGGTTAAAAGCCGAATGTTACCTATAAAACTCAAGATAACAAAGAGCTTCTATGCTTTGTAAACTTGCACTCATAAATAAAAGCTCACAAGATAGGATTCAGTGCATATTTCAATAAGTCTTCTCAACAGCCACATGCACTATTCTTCCCTTCAGAATCAGTGCCATTTAAAGTGAAATGCACTAAACAGCCATTTTCCAAAGCGAATAGTCGGGAAGAGGAACTCTGAGCCGAGTAAATAATGCTGCTGAGAGGAGCACACGGGTTAGGACTTGACCAGGCTCTTACTGAGGATCGCTTCATAGTAGGGACTGAACACCATCTTGTTATAGTTGACCAGGCGAACAAATTTAACAGCAATTTCTTCCAGCTCTTTCTGAACTGGACTCAATCCACCAGGTACTGCAGGGAATGGCTTCTGATGGCCTGAGGCAAGGTAGGTTTCCAAGAAAGTGAAGATTCGGGAATCTGCAATGGAAAAGAAAATAGGTGGTTGTTTCTCATTCTAGGTCAATTTACAAGCTTTTCATTATGCTTCAGCTAGAAACCTCACCTCCTGAGGAAGTCTTTCCTGACCATCCCCCTAACAGAGTACCCTTAGCACCTTATTTCTGACCGATGATTCCACTTAACAATGTGTCCCTGTCAAGATGGGGTTTCATGACATTGGAAATCTTGCTCATCTTGTTCTTCTAGCTCTCCCTGCACCCAGTACAACCCCTAGCAAGCCTGGCCACTGGAGACCACAGAAGAAAAGAGGGAAGAACAGAAAGGCAGGCACTACAAGGCCTACGCCTGACTCCTGATATTGAGCTTCTCCAATAATTCTTTCCTCTACAAGTTCAAAAGACAATCCACTGTAGGTGTGTGAACCACCTTGCCCACAAAGCTCACATCAAAGACTCACAGGCTGCCTTCTTCAGTGCTCACAGTGAAGGACCAAGGCCCCTGAGAAGCTGTGAGCTTCTCCAATTCTGAGGGATCATTTCAGTTAACCACTTCTTTACTTATTTCCCTCTAAATGTTTTTGGCACACTCCTGTGCATCTTCACCCAAAAAAGACTTAAATGAGTCCTTCCTTCCTGCAGATTTTACTACAAAAGTGAATGCTGCTGCTAAGTTACAGTAGAATCTCATCCAATTCACGGTGACCTTACGTACGTAGAACTAAACTGCCTCGTAAGGTTTTTAAGGCCATAACCTTAAGAAGCAGCTAGCCAGTTCTGCTTTCTGAGGTAACACTGGGTGGATTTGAACCACCAATCTTTAGACAAGTACTCAAACTCTTAGTCAGTTTTATAACCCAGGGCTGTAGATCAACATTTCTTCTCTTTGTTTTGGCCTTTGTTCTAGTGCAAGTCTCTGAGTCTCTTCTGATGTCCATTTTAGTCTTTTCTTTTCCCCCTATGCTTTCTTCATGAGTAATGTCCTTGATGTCATCCCATTGATCTGGTTTTCAGTCATTATGGTCAAATACATCAAACTTATTCTTGAGATAGTTTTAAGTTCAGCTAGGAAGACACAAGGTCATATTTTGGCTCTCAGGGATTTTTCATTTTCTTCAGCCTTAATTTGAACTTGCACATGAGTAACTGACACTCTGTTCCACGGTCAGCACCTGGCCTACGTCTGACTCCTGATATTAAGCTTCTCCAACGATTCTTTCCACAAATGTAGTGTGGAATTTGAAGTGAGGTATAGGCATATAATGCTATTTATGTTTTCTTTTTTAAATGTAACTGCAATGAATAAATCATAGATTGTACAAAATTCTGTAATTCAGTGCCCAGCCTCATTTTGATCAGGGAAGAAATAATGAAGTAAGAGATGAACAGAGTTCAAAGGGTAGCTCAAGAAGACAACACAAAGGATTATAGCAAAATGTGCAAAGAGCTGGAATGAGAAATCCAAAAAGGAAGAACATGCTCTCGGTGTCTATCAAGCTGAAAGAACCGAAGAACAAACACAAGTCTCGGGTTGCAAACTGAAGTACTCCATGGGAAAGTTCTGAATGATGCAGGAAGCACTAAAAGAAGATGGAAAGAATAGACCCATCATACCAAAAAGAACTGGTCAACACAGAACCAATTCAGGAAGGAGTGTGTGTTCAAGAACTCACAGTACTGAAGGAAGAAGTCCAGGCTTCACTGAAGGCACTGACAAGAAATAAGGGCCCAGGATTTCATGGGCTAACAAATCATATGCTTAAAAAAATGCAGCCATGGACATGCTCACCATGCTGTGCCAAGAAATTCGAAAGACAGCTACCTACCTGGCCAACTGACTGGGAGAGATTTATATTTGTTTCCATTAAAAAGGGGCGAGTGGGGTGATCCAACAGAAAACAGAAATTACTGAACAGTATCAGTATCACATGCAAGTAAAAACTTGCAGAAAATAACTCAAAAACAACTAGAACAGTATAGTAACAGGAAACTACCAGAAAGTTAAGCTGGATTTAGGGATTTAGAAGAAATCTAGCAACAAGGGATGTCATTAATGATATCAGATAGATACAGTCTGAAAGCAGAGACTATCAGAAAGATGTTTACTTGTATTTTATTTACTCTGCAAAGGAATTTGACTGTGTAGGTCATAATAAATTATGGATAACATCGAGAAGAATGGGAGTCCCAGACATCTAATTATGCTCACATGAAACCTAGACTGAGACCAAGAAGCAGCTGTCTTAAATAACAAGGGAACACTGCACGGTTCTAAATCAGGAAAGGTGGGCATCACAGTCACATCCTTTCTCCACCTGTTCAACCTATATGGTAAGCAAATCAGTTAAGAAGCTGGACTATATGAAGAAGAATGTGGCATCAGGATTGAAGGAAGACTAATCAATAACCAATATTATATAGATGACACAACCTTGCTTCGAGACCTGAAGCATTTACTAAAGAAGATCAAAGATTACAACCTTCAACATGGACTATGTATCAACAACAAGAAAGCAAAAATCCTCATCAATGGGCCATCATGAAAGATGAAGAAAAGATTTAAGTAGTCAACTATTTAGTTTTACTTGAATCTACAATCAACATAGCAACAGTCAAGAAATCAAAGATGTGGGAAGCTCAGGTAATCTACTGGCAAGAAGCTGCACTGCAATCCAGAGGTGGACGGTTCGAATCCACCAGATGCTCTGCTGCAGAAGGAGGGGCAATCTCCTCCTGTACCAGTCAGGTCTGATTTGATGGTACACACACAAAAAATAATTTTAAAAAAATTTAAAAAAAAATCAAAGATGTGTTGTACTTGGTAAAGATGCTGTCAAAGAACTCTATAAAGTATTAAAGAGAAAAGATGTCAGCTTAAAGACTAAGGTGCACTTGATCTGAACCATGGTCTTTTCAAGTGCTTCATAAGCCTGTAAAACTTGGCAATAAAGAATTAGAAGATCAAAGAATTGATGCCTTTGAATGGTGGCACTAGGGAAGAGTATTGACTAGCCATGGACTGCCAAAAGAACAAGCAAGTCTGTCCTGGAGGAAGTGTAATCAGAATGCTCTTTAGAGGCAGGGACAGTGAAATCTCAACTCACATACTTCAGATGTGCTGTCAGGAGGGGCTTTGAGAAAAACACCACACTAGGAAAGGTGGCAGATTAGAGAGAGGACAACCTATGATGATAGAGACTGGATCACAGGGGTGTAGCAGGATCGGGCAAGGTTCCAATCTGTTGTTCACAGGGTCATCACCATGAGTAGTAAGTCAGTCGACTAAATTCATGTAACAACGGAGACTTAAAAACAACAGACACTTTGGCATTGAAGGGATTTCCCCAACCACAGGTTCTCCCTTCCCTTCCCTGGAGAGATGCTAATGAGTTACTGGTGAGTGCACCACCTTCTCAAGTCCAAGTGACTTAATTACTCTCCAGGCTCACAAACACCCACAACCCCATGTTGGTTCCACCACACCTGAGGGCACATCCCACTTGCCGGCCTCTGATGCGTACCCATGATCCTGCGAATGCGGTTGTCCCGACTGGCCAGGGCCTGGATCTGGCCCTTGAGCATGGTCTCCTTGTCTGTGGTGAAGGGGGTGAACCCGCACAGGGAAAGGCTGCTGCTCACCTCCATGCAGACTTTGTCCCCAATATCAGTTAGAGCATCCTTCAGATGGAAGGAGCTTGAACAGAGAAGGGGAAGAAAGAGCCTATGAATAGAGCGCACATTTAAGCAGTTCATACATCCAGAGACTGAAGGTCATATCAACTATTCAATGGAGCTGTGTAGACAAGGGAGAATGTGCTCCCTTTTCCAGCCTCCCAATCCCCCAGGCTCTGCTCTTCTGACTGGGGAGGACCTTCTTTCACTCCTTCTGAAAGAAACAGCAGTGAGCTGGAGAGGGCTCTGATCATACCAGGACAGAGCCAAAGCATGATATGCTGCTGGCATCTGTGTGGTCACCGAGTGTGACTGAGACTTAAAATCATCTTCAAATACCTCTGGAGTGCAATGTATGAGCAAAACATAATGAATCAGAAATTGGGGGCTAAGGTCTGAAGTGAAAGAAAGAATTTCTATTGGATACTCTTGTACCTTTGACTAGTGAAAATAATGTTTAAAAACTATTTTAAATAAAACTGAAAGCTAGAAGTTAAAAACATTAAATTCAAATGTTGCTGTCCAGTTGGAGCCAATCTTTCTCCCACTGAGTAGCTGGTGGATTTGAACCATGTACCTTTTCACTGGAAGTACAGTTTCTTACCACTAAACCATCAGAGAGCTGGGCGTGTTTGTAGGGTTTTTGTTGTTTTTTTTAAAAATTGCTCCCCAGCTGTGCTTTTCAAACTCTGAGTTGCTGTGAAATAAATTCAGTAGGTATCAACCAGTACTTTTTTTTTTCCACAAAGGAACAGAAAATATCAGGCTGCACTAAGTGTAGTTAAAGTAAGTTTCATCTTATAACACTTTTCATTTCATTTCCCTGTGTGTGTAATGATGTGCGTGTGCGCTCACAGAGGAAAACACGTTTCTTATTGTGGGTCCCGATTTCAAATATTACAAGCCTAGACGCCTTGCTAACCCCAGCACTGACTCTAGCTTTGATCTGCTGAATTAATTCTGTGGTACTCACCTAGTGAACAGACAAGTTTGAGTGTAAGGTTTCTTCTAGGTTCACAGAAAGGGTCCCCGACCCTCCCAATTCTACCTTACAACGGGAGACCTTCACCCAGTCGGGTCGCGGCCACCCACTGCCTCCCACACAACCATTTCCAAGTCCACCCTGCGACCCTCAGCCACTTACGGCAGATGCATGTCTGTCAGCAGAACCTTGACAATCATCTTGAGTTTCTCTGCAAAGTTGGCTTGGCTGACAATTCCGGGGGCCACCATGCTGAACGTGACCAGCAGCACAGCCCCCAGGATGGTGAGTTGCTCCAGCTCCAGCTGGAGCTCTTGGAAGCGGGACTGATCCATCAGGACTGTCTGGAATGAAGAAGAGCCATCACTGAGTTGTGGATCCGAGCGGCCAGCAGGAGGCAGGGCAGCCACAGCACTGCCACAAGCCTTCCCAGTTTCTGCTAAGATTGTCTTAGAGACATTCCAGAGCAGTAAGAGCTGTGCGTGAATAAACCACCTTAGAGTTCCTCTTTCATTAGAAAGCAAGCATACTGCACGCATCTGAGAGCAAATCTGGGTTGCCTCCCTGAATAGCAGGAGGAGTACATCCAAGTTTCTTCAACATCTAACCCTATGCAGAACAAGGATTCCTCCTTCTATCAGCAGTTTTAAAGATGATCGTGTATGTAATGTGGTTGGCAAAGCCAACACCCCACAAATAAGAGTTAAACTATTAGGAGGAGTCACAAGTGGGTAAGCGCTCAACCACTGGCTCAAAGGTTAGCAGTTCAAACCTGCCCAGCAGCACCTCACAAGACAGGCCTGAGGACCTGCTTCTGAAAGGCCCAGCCTTGAAAACCCTGAGGAGCACAGTTATACTGAGACACACAAGGTCACCATGTGCCAAAATCAACCTCACAGCAACTAACAACTGCAACATATAATTTTTGTTATTATGCACCATTCAGTTGCTCGTGACTCATAACGACTCTATGTACAATAACTCTGAAACCTAACCTATCCTGAGCCAACCTGTCTCTGTCTCTGACACACCTACCCTCATGACTCCAGTCACTAAATCAATCCATCTCATCAAGGGTCTTCCTCTCTTTTGCTGTCTCTCCACCCTTCCAGGCATCCAAGGACTGATCCCTCCTCACAACATGTCCAAAGTATGGCAGACGAAGGCTCAGAATCCTTGCCTCCAAGGAGCAGCCTGAGTTCACCCTCTCCAGGATGAACCTGTTTGTTCTCCTGGCAGTCCATAGTATGTACATTCAACACTCTTCTCCAGCACCACAGGTCAAAGGCCTCAATTCTCTTTCTAATGTCCCTAGTCACTGTTTAGCTTTCTGATGCATAGCAAGCAACTGTGAAGACTATGGCCTGGATAAGGCACACCTTAGTCTTCAGACTGATGTTACTGCTCTTCAGTACTCTGGAGAGGACCCTGAGAGCAGACTTTCCCAATGCAACTTTTTTTTCTGTCTTTTGATTTCCTGGCTGCTGGTACCAAGGGTGCTGACTGTGGAGCCAAGCAAACTAAAGCTGTTAACAGTCTCAATCTCTTTATCATCTATTGTAAGGGAAAGAACACCCATATACCCAGCTAGGACAGCCTGTTCCATCCCACTTTGGTCAATACTGTCCAAGTTTTAAAACTCAAAGTCTTAAGTCCTGGGAGGAGGCTGGACTGGTGGAGACCACGGGGAATTGTGTTGTGGCTTGGAGCAAGAAAGATGGGCAATCTCCTTCTGTGCAATTTACAGCTTCAGAAACCCAATGGAAGATCAACTCTGAGTTAAGTGTGACTCAAGAGCAGGGAGCTGAAATTTTTTAGTGCTGAGAACTTCAGCTGGTCAACCTATACAGATCATTTAAGGGAAAGAGGAGAACACTTCTTCTGAGCAGACACTATACTTAACTTATCTAGGTAGCTCCCTCAGCATCTGGAACAAAAGAGACTCTCAATAACTGGTAAATGAATAAACAGAAAGCGAATTAAATAACAAGGATAAAATGTGGGAATGACAGAAAACAAGGAAGAGCTACTTTACAAAGTAGCCAATGAGAGAGTTTCCATGGCTGCTTTTTCCATGTTGCTATTCACTCCAGGAAGACATTTCTCGATGCTACCATACCAAGTGATTGAAAAGACCACGACCTGAATCAGGTGCACCTTAATCTTCAAACTGACATCAATGCTCTTCAGTATGTTGGAGAGGACTCTGACAGTGGCCCTAAACAATTCATCTTAACTGATGACTGCTCGTACAAAGGGTAAAGATTGTGGACCCAAGTAAGATGAAATCACTGACAGTTTAAATTCTTTGTCTATTTATTATGGTGCTGCCTATTGGCCAAGTGGTAAAGACCTTTGTTTTCTTGATGATGTTGTTGTTGTTGTTGTTATGTGCTGTCGAGTTGCTTGCGACTCATAGCAACCCTATGTACAACAGCCCTAAACTGTGCTCTGTACTGTAGCAATCACACTGTCTCTGATACACCCATCCCAATTACCCCAGTCACTCATAGAGGGCCTTCCCCTCCTGCGCTGTCCCTCCACTTTACCAAGCATGATGTCCCTCTCCAATGACCGGTCCCTACTTACAACATGTCCAAAGTATGTTAGACAGAGCCTCGGAATCCTTGCCTCCAAGGAGCCGCCCAGTTTGACCCTTCCTAGGATAAATCTGTTTGTTTTCCTAGCAGTCCATGGTATATTCAGTACTCTTCTCCAGCACCACAGCTCAAAGGCATCAATTCTTCTTCTACCCTCCCTAGTCATTGTCCAACTCTCTGATGCATAACAAGTGATTGCAAAGACCATGGCCTGTATCAGATGCACCTTAGTCTTCAGAGAGACACCATTGCTCTTCAGTGCTTTGGAGAGGTCCCTAACAGCAGACTTTCCCATGGCAATACATCTTTTAATTTCCTGGCTACTGGTGCCAAGAGTGTTGACTGTGGAGCCAAGCAAACTAAAGTTGTGAACAATCTCAATCTCTTCACCATCCATCCTGATGCTGCCAATTGGCCCAATGGTGAGAATCTTTGTCTTCTTGACATTGAGCATCAATCCATATTGGAGGCTGCAGTCCTTGACCCTCTGCAGCAAGCGCTTCAGGTCCTCCTAGTCTTTTCAATCACGTGCTATGTATCTAAGAGCTGGGCAATGAATAAAGATGAAAGAAGAATTGATGCCTTTAAGTTATGGTGTTGAAGAAGAGTACTGAATATTCCACAGACTGCCAAAAATAAAACAACTATGTCTTGGAAAATGTGCAGCCAGACTGCTCTTTGGAGGCAAGGATGGTGAAGCTTTGTCTCTCATACTTTGGACATGTTGCTAGGAGAGGTTATTCCTTAGAAAGGTGAAGGGTCAGCAAAAGAGAGGAAGACCCCCAACAACATGGACTGACAGAGTGACTACAGCAATGGGCTCAAGTGTATCAGAGATCGTGAGAACAGCACAGGATAGGACAAGATTCAGGTCTGTTGTTCAAAGGGTTGCTATGAGTCATACTCAACTTGACAGCACCTAATAATAAGAAAAACAACAATCATGCCAACGAACTCTTCTGGCTTACTGGTAGAGAACTGCACTGACAATGCAAAGGTATGTGGTTTGAATCCATCAGCGACTCTGTGGGGAAAGGATGGGCAATCTCCTTTTGGGGGATTAACTGCCCTTGAAAACTCACTGCAGGATCAGATATGGGTCAGTTCTGACTTGACAATACACAATAACCACCACCATGCCAAAGTGTGGGGTGAGGATAAGAGAAGAGCAATGGCTGAAGGGCTGATTCAAGTACTCACAGGTTAATCAAATGATCCCAAGGCTTCATTTGCTGTAAGAAATATATATCAAACCAAAACAACTATGAGATATCATCCCACCCCAGTGAGACTAGCAAAATTTAACAGAACAGCAAGCAACAAATGCTGGCGAAGCTGTGGAAAACCTGGAACCCTTATTCACTGTTGGTGGAAGTGTAAAATGGTGCAACCACTGTGGAAGGCAGTATGGTGCTTTCTCAAATAGTTGCACATAGAGATACCATTTGACCCATCAATTCCACTACTGGGAATATACCCTAAAGAGACCATAACCAACATCCAAGCAGATATAAGCACATCCATTTTTATCGCAGCTTTGTTCACAATAGCAAGGACTTGGAAACAACCTAAGTGCCCATCAACAAATGAATGGATAGAGAAGCTGTGGTATATTCACACAGTGGAATATTATGCTGCATTGAAAAACAGGAATTCATGAAATATTATTCAAAATGGGTGACCCTGGAGGACATATGCTGAGTGAAATATGTCAGTCACAATGGGACAAATACTGCATGGTGCCACTGTTGTAAAACAGGACTGACATTGGAATTGTGGGGAGACTGAGAAAGATGGGTTCAATAATGTATACTGCATTGAAACAGATAAGGGAGAAAACTGTTTAAAAAGGGTATGTGATTAGGTATTATTGCCATGACAGGAGTCCAGAATGAAGGCTGCATAGTGGAGTTGACCTGAGGGGAAGGATTATAAAACAATGGGGGAACTTTTCTTTTACTTTTCAAAGAGAAGAGTGTACTGGGGGGAAGAATGGACAGGGAGAAAAGTGCAACAATAAATGAATGGAAATCCAAAGTCTCTGTAAATTTTCATTAAAATTAATTTTAAAAAATGATAAAAAAATAAAGAAATGACAAAAAAAGAGAAATATATATCAAACCGAGACATTGACAATTTGAGATCTTAACCCAGCATGCTTCTGAAGAAGCTAAAAACAAATTCTGAAGATTGAAAACCCTCTGTTGCTGATAAGTCTGCTGAGAAAGGTATATTTGTTTTATTATTAGTCTTTTTCATTTCACTTCTTTCCCAGGCAGTGTTCTTGCTTTCTCAAATTCTAACCTCTTCAAAGGACACAGTCCTTGAGATTGGGGTGCAACAGACTTCCAAGATCAACCTGAACAGCAGACATCTGTCCCCGGAAAAAGAACATCTTCCCCCAGCTGAAAACTTTTAGAGAAAAATAACAACCTGAGAGTTGCCCCTCAGGAGAGAAATGCCATTAGTCAGAAAGAAGCATGAGCACTTCCTTTCAATGGCTCCCTTGTGACCTCTTAGATCTTCCTCTTACCAAAACAGAGAACTCAAGAAATGAAACTTCTTGAATGTAAAAATAAGGAAACTTGGTTTTGAGGCTGATATTTAGAGAAGCAGCAGGATTTGAGGCTACAGAAGCCTGTGTGCCCTCAAAAAAGTGAGGCAGCTATGGTGGTGGTTTCTACCCACTAAGACAAGTCAGACATCACGCACCAAACAGGGGACTCCCTTGTTAGTCACCTGCTTAAAGGAATACTACAGCTAGAAGTGATGACTATGAAAAGCACGAAAAGGAAAATCTGCACCTCAGCATGGAGAAGAAAGAAATTTCTCTTGATAATGGAAAAGCGCCACAGCTTTTGTGGTTGTGGTTTTAATCAAGATGAGTTAAATGGAAGAAAAGTGCCCACCACACGGCGAGATGCTCAGACATGGCCAGGAGCATCCAAAGACGATGCAGCTGCTATGAGAAACAGTCTGAGGGTTCTTCAAAGTTAAACACAGAGCTACTACATTCCACTCCCATATATACCAAAGAGAATGGGAAACACTGTCACACAAAAACCTGTACAGGAATGTTCACAGCAGCATTACTTATTAAAGCCTAGAAACAGAGGGGAAAAAAGAAAATGTCCATCAGCTGTTGCATAGATAAATTAAAATGGGACATGTCCATACAAGTGATTATTTTCCGGGTATAAAAAATACTGGTAATGCTACAATGTAGGAGCCTTAGTGGCCCTCGGCGGCTAACTGAGAAGGCCAGAAGTTCAAATCTACCAGCTCCCAAGTCCTATGGGCAGTTCTACTCTTTCCTCCTATGTAAGGTCACTCTGAGCCAGAACTAATATAATGGTTGTTGTTGTGATGTGCCGTCGAGTCATTTGCGACTCATAGCGACCCTATGTACAACAGCCCTAAACCCTGCTCTGTCCTGTGCCAATTGCACTGTCTCTGACACACCCATCCCGATTACCCCAGTCACTGAATCAATCCACCTCATAGAGCGTCTTCCCCTCCTGTGCTGCCCCTCCACCCTACCAAGCATGATGTCCCTCTCCAAGGACCTGTCTCTCCTTACAACATGTCCAAAGTATGTCAGATGAAGCCCCAGAATCCTTGCCTCCAAGAAGCAGCCTGGTTTAACCCTCTCTAGGTTGAATCTGTTTGTTTTCTTGGCAGTCCATGGGACATTCAATACTCTTCCCCAGCACCACAGCTCAAAGGCGTCAATTCTCCTTCTATCCTCCTTAGTCATTGTCCAACTCTCTGATGCAGAACAAGCGATTGCAAAAACCATGGCCTGTATCAGGCGGACCTTAGTCTCCAGAGAGACACCGTTGCTCTTGAGTACTTTAGAGAGGTCCTTAACAGCAGACTTTCCCATCGCAATATGTTTATTTCCTGGCTGCTGGTGCCAAGAGTGTTGACCGTGGAGCCAAGCAAACTGAAGATTTGAACAATCTCAATCTCTTCGCCATCCATCCTGATGCTACCGATTGGTCCAGTGGTGAGAATCTGGTATGCATAGGAATCAGATCGATTACATCTGCGGAAAAAAATGCTGGGGAAGCTCACTATCAGCTGTGAAAACTAGGCCAGGAGCTGATTGTGGAACAGACCACCAACTACTCATATGCAAGTTCAAGCTGAAGTTGAGGAAAATTAAACCAAATCCACAGGAGCCAAAATATGACTTTAATTTCATCCCACCTGATATAATGGAGACAAGTTTTTATAACGCCACCTATCATAGATAAGTCTTGAAGACAGGGAATGTGACAGGAGCCAAACACATGACACCATTTATATGAAGTGTCCACAACAAGCAGAAACTCAGACTAATGAGTGGATTTGGGGCTGCGAGGGGCTGGGGGAAGGGGCCTAGCGAGTGACTGCTAAGGGACAGAGGGTTTCTTCTTGAGATAACGACCATGTTCTGGAAACAGTGATGGTAACGGCTGTAGCACTTTGCAAATATTCTAAAAACAACTGGATTCTAAGTGTGAAAAGAGTATAACTGATGATATGTAGATTATATCTTAAAGCTGATATATTAAAAACAAAACAAAACAAAAGCTCAGCAGTACAAAAGAAAATCAGCAGTTGTAATGCTCAGAGGCACTTACTTCAGGGAAAGGTCTCTGGAGGTGATCCCATTTCAGAAGCTTGAGGTAAGCATGATTCTGGACAGCGACGGGACTCAGCATGGCAAAGTCCTCAGAGCCAGCAGCCCCTCCCCCTGCTGGTAAGGTGTTTTTATACTTCTGACTCATAAGTTCATCTGAGGCTTCTTCTAGCCACTGGGTGACAAAGTCCAAGGCATCTGTGAAAAAATAAGACTACAAACATTAATATGACACTTTGGAGGTCTGTTTCCTGGAATTAGTTTAGGGAAGATCACCCAAGTAAAGTATAAATTGTGAACTTTAAAATCAAATAGAACGAGATGATCCTGTTTTGTGCTGCTGAGTCAGAACCGATACACAGTTGACCTCCAGGGGGTCATCAGCGGCTGGAGGACACTGTTTTTCTCCCTTGGAGCAGCTGGTAGATTCAAACTGTCCATCTTTGGGTTGGCAGTGCAATTCTTTAGCCCCTGGGCGACCAGAACTCCCTAGATGATTACAGCATGGTATAATCTCTCTGAATATATGATTCTTAATAGAAAGAAATTTGCACACACAATGCTCACCTCAAAGGCCGTCTTGAAGATTAAATAAGATAATGCATATTAAGCACTACCTAGAGTCATGAACTATTAAAAGACAAATCCGTCCTTGATGAAGTGTAACCACAGTGCTCCTTACAAGCAATGAGAGTGAAACTTCACCTCCCATAATTGGGACATGTGTTAGATGGGGCCCTGCCTTGGAAAAAGACATCAGGCTTGGAAAGGTAGAAGGTCAATGAATGAGTGGAAAATCCTCAAGATGGACTGACCCCAGGATTGTGACAATGGGTGGGAGCATATCGGAGACATGAGGATGGGGCAGGACAGCGAAAAGTTCCCATCTGTTCACAGGGCTGCTATTAGCTGTAGTCAATCTGACAGTACCTAACAACAACTCAAGACTTGCCACGAGCCAGATGGTTAATAGATACTAGTCCTCTCCCAACCTGACCACTTCATGACATGTGATACCTCAGGTTGTAAGATGGCAAAAATTCTTGCTCAGAGATGGATGGCATGTGTTTCCCTGGGTAAAGGATCCACTGTACTGGAGCGGAGGCTTTTTCCTTGACTAGATCTTAATCTGGGTCCAGCCTGGTTTACTTTCTGCCTTACAGGAAGTGAGCACTGTCACGTGTTAGATATACTTTACATGGCTCTTGGAGCACTGTCCTGGTGAGACCCTGAGGTACTTTTAATCTGCCATCATGATCCCTAAACTTTTCCAAGCTGAGAAAACCATGAGGGACTCTGAGGGACACAACAATATGATGCTCTTGTCCTCATTATTGCAGAGAAAATTGCCTCTGCTGGTGAAGTCCTGCCTCCTTAAAACAATGCATGGACCAGGGTCACGGCTGCAGCCTCCTTTCACTGCTGCAAGAGGCTGCATGTGCCGGCTGCCAGCCCACTGGCTCTCCGTTTGGCTCTCTCTTTTAACTCTTTGCAAACAGCATTCTCTGTAACTCCACAGTTTTGGGAAATCTTGGCTTTTATTCTGTGAGTAAGTGTGAGGCTCTAACCATTCTACTCCAGTACCCTGGATTCTGGTACTTGGCTCTCTCCTAAGACTCTTCAGCTCATAAAACTGAAGACTTACTTCTCCCAAGAGGATGTAATGGTTGCAATTGTGAGCTGTCTGGTCAATAAATTCTGATTTTAAAATAATACGTAAGATTTGTTTTCACATGTATGAAACAGGGTTTAAAAAGTGTGTCTTCATGTGGTTCAAACTCACCAGATGCTCTGCTGGAGAAGGAGGGGCAATCTCCTCTTGTGTCAGTTGGATCCAACTCAACAGTACATAACAACAACAAAAAAAGTATGCCTTCCCCACAGGCTTACTATGTGTGAAGAAAACGCAATAAATTACATACAATAATCCTGAAGGCTTCAGGAACTGGGATGTATTAGTTGTTCTCCTGCTCAGGAACTACCACTTGTCCTCTGGTCTTTGCAGCCTGCCTCCTGACCTCTAGCACATTTACCACCTCTCGGTATGAGGCTGGAGGAACCAACTGCTCAGACTATCATTTTCATCTTGAGACCAGCAAAGGTACAGGCTTAAAGGGCATTTATAATCTCAATTATCCCAGAAGACAACAAATGTCCCAGAACATTAGAGGTTAATGGAGAGGCCAAAGCGAATCCTAGAAAACCAACTGGGACTGTTCTCCTGCAGTCATTTGAGAAGGTCATACAAAGCGAGGCTCTTTCTTGGGTGTGAAGCCAGAGGATTTATGGACACAAACAAGCCAAGTGAGATTTCCTGCTCAACAGCACACGGAGAAGAAAAGGGAATTAAACTTGGGCACAATGAGCTTGTTCTGTTTCTAACACCAAGATCAAGAATTGTATTTACCTCAAATTGTGCTTACATTAAAAACTTATTTAGTTAAACAAACAAAAAAAAAAACCCACAATACAACACTAAACCATTTTGTTTTGTACTTCATTCATTTTCAATTGTACGTTCATATGCTAACTCACACACTTCTCCTTATGTCAATTCTGTTTCCTTTCCAACTCTAGATATATTCCAAAGTTTTGTGTTTTCACTTCTTCAAATTACACTACTGGCATGCTCAAATACGACTTTTGTTTCTAAAAAAGCAACAACCATTATGCACTAAGCCATAGTAACTAAACTGAAAAACCACCACCAATAAAAGAGTGCCATTAAACATACTTGGCTGCTTCTCCAAATACTCTTGAAACTTCTTCCTTTCATAATCAACTGAATGCTGCATGAGATGTGGCCGAATGCTCGTGATAGCAAAGTTTAGCATGTCCACTTTCATTAGATCTAACACAGAAAATATTTCCCTGAAAGGAAAAAAGTAAACAGCTTTAGACCCAGGCACTTATAAAGTATGATTTTAAAAGGATGAAGTAAGCTGATTTGAGAGACGTCCTCTTATTTTAGAAAGGGTAGCAAGAAAAGTTAGAAAGGTCATGAGAAAAAGTATAAACCACGAACTTAAGAATACATATAAATTTAAATAAGAATACATAGAAATTTAAATGTTTTAATCACTCCCTTCAAAGAACCACAATCCCCTTCCTCCCTCTCACCCCTTGCCCACTGCCATTCTGTCCCTTGAACTCATTCCCTGGCACAAAACATCATCATCTGTTCACAAGAAAACAGAGTTAAGCAGTTAACCAAAAGCCTAGTTCTCAGGCCTATGTTATCATAAATATTCTCTAAATAAACATAGCCACAATCACATACATTTAAAAATAAATATTCAGAATGAAAAGAACTTATTTGAGCTATATATCCATTAATAAAATTGTTGATCCATTAATAAAATTGTTGTTGTTGTGTAGCATCTTATAGCTGGCCCTCCAGTGAGTTTTCAGAGGCAGAGTCAGAACCAGCCCATAGCTGACCCTCCGGCTAGTTTTCAGAGGCAGTATATCAAACAGGAAGAGAATGTCCACCTTCCTCCAGCAGAGCAGCTGGTAGATTCAAACCATGCACCTTTGTGTAGGCAGTGCAACTCCTTATCAAATGTCTTGTGTCTCAGTTGTATTGTTTATGCAGAATTTCCACATTCTGAGGAGGTAGGCATGGCCATAAGAGTGAAGTTATCACAGTATCTATTATGAAACCTCAGATGTTGCTGCTGTTTTTGTTGTTAGATGCCATTGAGTCAAGTATGATTCACAGGGATCCTATGAACAAAAGATCTGAACCCTGTTATATCCTGTGTCATCCTCACATTTCCTGACACAAGAGTTCATTGCAACAGTCACCGTGTCAGTCCACCTGATTGAAGGTCTTCTCCTTGGCCAATCCTCCACCCTTTCCAGCATCATGTCCCTCTTCAAGGAAAAGTTGCTCCTAGCAACATGCCCAAAGTATGTGAGGCAAAGCCTCATCATTCTTGACCCCAAAGAGCACCACTCTCTCCAAGATACATGTTTGCTCTTTTGGCTATCTGCGGGATGTTCAGTGATTTTCTCCAATACCACAGCTCAAAGGTATTAATTCTTTTTTGTCATCCTTATTCATTGTCCAGCTCTCAGATTCATAGCAAGTGATCAGAAAGACTATAGCCTGAATCAGATGCACATTAGTCCTCAAACTGACATCATTACTCTTCAATAATTTGGAGAGGTCCTTAACTGCAGATTTTCCTAGGGCAATGCATCTCCTTATTTCCTGACTGCTGGTACCAAGAGTGTTAATTGTGGATCCAAGCAAGATGAAGCTGTTGACAATTTCAGTCTCCTTTCTGTCCAGTGGTAAGCACACTTGTTTTCTTGACATTGAGATGCAATTCATACTGAAGATGCAATCCAACCTCAGCTAGTTCACAGTAAATAATGTGCTTATACTGTATTCATTTACTCTGGCTGCTATAACAAAGTACCATACACTGTGTGGCCTATAGGAGAGAACTGACTGTCTCAATGCAAAGGCAGTACACTTTCAGGGTGCCAGTCAGTCACCTTTCCTAGGAAGGCTCTAGGGGAAGACCTTTTTTTTGTCATTCCATGCTCTGGTTGCCCCAGGCATCACTTGCAGCTTCAGCAGAACTCAACAGCAATTTTCCCTCAGTTTCTTTCTATCTCTGGGTCTCCTCCTTTCATGTAAAGATACCACTCACACTGGATAAGGATTTGTCCTTCTCCTGTCTGACCTTGGGGAGCTCTGGTGGCATCATCTGTAGGCAGTTACAGTGCTAATCAAAAGGTGGTGCCTCTCTGGCGCCATGGAAGAAAGACGGGAAATCCTCTCCTGTGTGATTTACAGCCTCCTGAAAAACCCGCTGAAAGGTCAGCTGTGAGACAGTTCCAACTTGAGTTTTGAGTTATTTGACTTATAGTATGAAGCTCTGGTAGCCTAGATACAAAAGGCTGCACTGTAATCTCAAAGGCATGTGGTTCGAGTCCCCAGCTACTCTGGGGGGAAAGATGGACAATCTCCTCTTATGTGATTAACTACTTCTAAAAATCTGCTGGAGGGTCAGCTATAGGTCAGTTCAATTTGATGGTTCACAACAACTTCTTCTAAAAGCAAAGAGCAAGGAGAAATGAGTGTCGGTGTTTTACTACCTCAAGGAAACCATACAAATACAGGTTTCCTCTTCGTTATCTGAAAGCAGAGAGAATTCTAGTGGTCTAGTGAGTTGTGCTGACGACCCTAAGGCAGATAGTTCAAATCCATTTTCCTGGGTGACTTACGACCTCTGAAAACTCACTGGAGGCTCAGCTATGAGTCAGTTCCAATTCGATGGCAATGAGTTTGCGGGGTTTTTCCCCAGTATGATCTAATGTGAACTCGTAACACCTAAAGTTCACATTCACAAGTACGGAATATTAGGAAATGAGTATTATCTTTTCCAGGGATAGAATGTAATCCACAAAAATACATGCACTATTAAAAAAAAACATGCATACACACTCAGGTATATCTAAAAAGGAAAAGCAAATATAAAATGCTAAAGACTAGTGAAATCTTGTGGCAGATATTATATTGGTTATACTGCTTTGAAACTTTCCTGTAGGTTTAGAATTTTTCAAAATAAAAAATTAGGAGGGAGGCAAAAAGAAGCTAAGAAGTATAGGTTAAAACTATAATTGTGATTGCATTTGAGTGTTAAAATTATGCATTAAGTTTTTCTTCTTTATACATTTCTGTATTTTACAAAACATCTGGATTTTCCTAATTTATTTTTTAAACATGAGGAAGTCTAAATGTGAATGCAGACAATACATTTCAGGTGTTCAGGGCTGGACTAAGGGGGCTTTGGTGGTACAGGGGTCCAAATTCAAACATACCAGCAAAAAGCTGGCAAATTGTACCTGTAAAGATTCCAGTGTTGGAAACACAATTGAGCAGTTAGCGCTGCTCTGACCTATGAAGTCACATGAGTCAGAATGAACAGGATGCGTGCCAGCTAGCAGCACAGTTCCCCACCTGAACAGAGGCACGATTTCCTTAATGTCGTTTAGTTTCTTAACTTCTTCATCTCGAACAGGAGCACACAATGTTCCCATCATGCTAATAATAAATTCTGCCACCTTGGAAATGTCTAAGGCCCCATTCTCTGCTTCCTGCTTGATCAAGTCCAGATCCAAGACCTCGGTTATCTGGTTTCTCAGTCTAGTGTGACCAGGCAGCAAGAAAGATAAGAGTGTCTACAAGAGAGCAGAATTACATTTCATCCAAGTTTCTAAAAGAGACACCATTTTTTATTACACAAAAAGGATTTTACAACTATTTAAGTAAGCGTTGAGCAATAGCGACTGCAATCTTACACATGTTTTAATCTCATATTCCACAAGGTAACATTAAAACAGAAGTGTTTACAAATATTTCAGAATAGTTATCTAAGCTATCTTCCATTTAAACTGTAGGTAGCAATCAACTGGATACAAAATAAACAAATTTTGAAAGATGAGAAATGAAAACCTTATTTATTAATGTGAATGTGTAAGCCAACCACAGATGCCAAAGCCTCGGAGACATCTTTTCTTAAGATACTCCTGCTAAAACCATTGCAAACAATCTGTCCTTACCAAATACTTTCTTTATCTCTCAGACTAAAGAACGGATATATAGTATAGACATTATAAATTTACCATGTCTGTACCAGTTTCATGCTATTAAATAATGTACCTTTTGATTTTTGATTATTTGTATTATTCAAATAATTCAGTTCTTGAAATCTTGGTCTGTTTTTAATTTATAAGAGCAATAATCATGGCTTAATTGTTTTAGGTCAAACATTCTTCTAAGCAGAATAGCACTGGTCTCTCCATTTGTTGTACAGAGGTAACTTGTGGCTGCTGTGATGTTGTGTCAAATGTGATAATGGTTACCCATGGTGGAGAGTGGTGAAGCTCCCTGATTGAAACAAGCTTAGAAGCAGGACTGGCATTCACTTCTGAAAGAACTTGCCTCCAGAAACTCTATGAACTTGGAGAAACGATGAAAGTTATACAAATGTTCAGGGTTTTTGTTCATAGGGTCACTATGAGCTGTCTATGACTCGAGGACACTTAACAACAACAAACAACAGTCATGATTCAAAATGGAAAAAAAGAAGAAATAGGAAATTCCAAAGGCACCAATATAAAAATTAAACAAACAAAAACCCCTCTTAAATCCAAATTCCCACCAGTAATTAAACAGAGAGGTTGAGAAAATACTTCCAGCATGTCAGAAAATGGCTATTATTCGCTCTGCTAAGTAAGGAACTGCTCTTTGACTCACCTCTTTGATCTCTCCCACCAGTTTGATGGCATGGTTATATTTTGGGGGGTCTTCCTCTAGCTGGGCACTCAAACAATCCCAAAAAGCTTTATGTACAATATCCTTTACTTTCTTCTTCAAGCTGCAGAAACACAGTCGAGGTAGAGGGGAAGATAAAGAATGAGAGAAGAGAAGAGAGTGAGAGGCAACATATCGGAACCTCCAGTTACTTTCAAAAGCACAAAGCTCTGGGGGGAAAAGCACAAATCCCATGGGTTTAAGAATGAAAAGAAAAGATTTCTCATACATACGTAAATCAATGGTATACCATATTTTTAGTTAATGGGTTCCCCCCAATAACTGTCTCTAAAGAGAATAATTTTCAATTACAGTAGCCATTTGCCTCACTATCAGTGTATAACTGTCAGAAAAGAAAGAATACTGAAGTGGGGGAGGGGAAATTTTTTTAAAACAAAAGAATATTGAAATAGCCAGAATTCTTTTCCAGTCCCCTAATATTAGTAAATTCCCTATGATATTTATGAGTAAATAGGTTAAGAAGTCAATTTAGCAAGTATACAGGTTGAAGGACATGTGATATTTGGGAGGATCAACCAGGTACTAAACGCTAACTACATACATATATACACACACACACATATATATAGATATACACAGATATGTACATATATGTGTGTGTGTGTGTGTATATATAATATATAACTTTTAAATAAAGATTTAGTAGGAGTAAAATTCTTCATTGTTAATGTGGAAAAGCAGGCCTGCTATTTAGAGACAGTGATCTCTGTCTCGCCCCCCTTTCCTCTCTTGCCTAGACACTGGTATATGAAGGATGGCAGCAGTTATTTTGTAATTATGAAGGAAAACACAAGCAGGTCACAGAAATATCACTTCAGAGTCTTGCTATCCATGAACTGCTGAAAAGGGCACCTAGGATAGTAGTAAAATCCCCAAAAGAAGAAAGTTTCAACACAAACTGACATATACACACCCGTGTGCAGCATTTTTTTAACCATGGGATAGAGCTGGAAGCTACCCAAGTACCTATCCACAGCAAACGATTAACACCATGGAGTATTAGGTAGCACTTAAAAACTATCGATAATTGTGAAATGATAATATGTAAAATTGATGGATTTAGGACAAATTATTATAAGTGACATAAGTTAGCTACAAAAGGACATTTATGACATAGGATCACTATAATAAAAAGCTGAGTAAAGCTTACACATACAATCAGTCTCAGAGGGTTGACAGTGATGGGAAGGAAGAACTAAAAGGGAAATTAATAAATATGAAGGGAAAGGCAACATATAACAAGGGCTGGGATGAATTAATTTAATTAATCAATGATAATTAACATGATAAAACAAAATGTCAATGAATGGCTACACAACAGTATTATTTATAAACTTTCACTCAAATAAAACTAAATAGTGATGACATTTCTACCATTAAAATGGACAATATTATTGTTATAATACATTTTTTAGAAGATAATCTTTAACAATCAATAGAGTTATCAATTCAATTCAATAGAATATGAGCCAGTTTCCAATGATGTGGAGCATCCTACTTAGTCTTCATCTTCAATCTGTTGGTTTATGTGCTCAGAAACCAACTATAGCACACTGTGCTGGTTACAAAAAAATGTTCTTCCCCCCTCCCCCCCCACAGGTGCCTGTTGGGGCCTGGGTTTCAGCTGTCCACACCACAGCAGTGGGCAACGAGCTTAAAGCCCCTGATGGCTCTGGGCGCTGACTCTCACCAGTGGCTATGGATGAAGTCACAGGCGATTTTCAGCCAGCGCCGGAAAAAAAAAATGTTCTAAAATAGGAAAATGATGTAAGGAAATACAAAACTGAGACAACTAAATTGTTAAGCAGGTGGAAAGATGTCAAGAAAGACTCCCAGGGAGATTTCTAGACCTTTAATTTACATTTTGAAGAAGCAGTGTTCTGAGATCTATCTTCACAATCTAGTAATTACTAACACTGTATAGAATTATGTTTTAGGCTCCGTCTAACATACTTTGGACATGTTGTAAGGAGAGACCAGTCCTTGGAGAGGGACAGCACAGGAGAGGAAGGCCCTCTATGAGGTGGATTGATTCAGTGACTGGGGTAATCAGGAAGGGTGTGTCAGAGGCAGTGCGACTGGCACAGGATAGAGCAGGGTTTAGGGCTGTTGTACACAGGGTCGCTATGAGTCACAAGCAACTCGATGGCACATAACAACAACAACAATAATATTGAAAGGCCAAATATATTTTAATATATTGGCATGAACTGAAGGAAAGAGTTCCAGAATGGGGAATGATAGTTTTCTTCTATTAAACAAGACAACTCCATTATCCTGGTTACCTGTTTTCTGGCAATTCAGCTGGTTTAATCTGAAAGTCTCCATTGACTACAATTTCATGGGCGAGAGCCATGTTGGCAACGCCTTTCGCTGTCTCCAGGAGTTCGTCTACTGTCACAAACTGAGGAGGAGTAGCTGTAACAAAACACAGTTTAAGAGTCTTGCATCTCTATATGAAAATTCCTATAAAAATAGAGAAAGCAAGTGATTCTGGTACAAGCTAATAATTTCAGGCATTAAAATGTTCTGGTAATTTCAAACAACAGCATTTACCTATTTCATACTAAATTTTTCTTTTAACTTGGAATCTTTTTTTTTAACTTGGAATCTTAAAAGCAGAAATTAACCCACAATACTCAAAGATCGTGTTCTTACTAAGACTCACCCGTTCACTGGCATCAAGGTCAGTTCCAACTCACAGCTGAGCCTCCACTGGACTCTGAGGTTATAAATCTTTTTCCCTCAGAGCCAGTGGTGAACTGGAAGCTTGCCCTTTGGATTAGCAGTGCGACTCTATAGAATATGCCAACAGGGATTCCTTTCCTGAGGCTCAAATTCATTGCCATCGAGTTGGAACCAACTTATAGCTGAGCCTCCACTGGGTCTCAGAGGCTGTAAATCCCAGGGGAGGAGAATATCCATTCTTCTCCCATGGAGCTGCTGGTGGATTTGAACCATGGCAGCACCTTCTGGTTAGCAGCACAACTCCCTACAACCTACAACAGTAGAATGTGATTACCATGTGGAAGTAGTGTGGGAGCGGAAAGTAGTATGTAAAGGCTTGCAAATTTTTGTGTGTTTTTAAGTTGCAGGCTATCATTTTCCCAATAAACTAAGGTTATTTTCTAATCCTTTTGCTCCAGCAGACCCTAAAACGTATTAAGGGATGAGGAGCTACATAAACAATGCTAAAACCACTAGTATTCTTTAGAACTTTCGGAACTGAGCGGAGTATGTGGCACAAGATTTACAGAATGCAGGTACATGAATCAGAAACTTCAAAGTTCCACTAATTTCTCCCTCTCCACTATGCAAGCCTTGTGTCTTTTACTTCTGTGTTCAACTGCTCCATACATAGTTTCCATACTTTTCTTTTGACAAAGTCTGTACATGAAAAATTCCCTCGTGTAAATAGTGCCAAGGGTATGAAGTGAAGGAATAAAGGGTAATTCTTACTCTTAAAAAGTCTGTAACGGGGGAGCTCTGGTGACCTAGTGACAAGAAGCTGCACTGCAATCCCAGAGATATGTGGTTCGAATCCACCAGATGCTTTGCCAGAGAAGGAGGGGCCATTTCCTCCAATTTGATGGTACACGCACAGAGAAAATAATAATTTTTTTTAAATTAAAAAAAAAACGGTCTGTAATGAAAAAAAAAAAAAGAAGTCTGTACTGGCCCTCATGTCTTAGCCTATATAAAATTCAAAGGAGGATTTCTTAAAGCAGATTGCTGGGTTCCATTTTATCGTTTCCCACTTGGCTAGTCTGGGGTTGGGCCCATGAATTTGCATCTTTAATAAGTCTCCACCTAATGCTGAAACAGTTGGTATCTCAAACTAAGAGAAACACTGGTCTAAGATGACTGTATAAATTTTATGTGACAGTAAGATCTGGGTATAAAATAAATTACTCTGTGGTTTGCATATATACAAAGAAAATGGAGCAGATCTCATTTTAATGGAAAGTTCTTTTCCTTCTTATTAAAGATTTGAAAAGCAGCATAATTTTTAAACTTTCACCCAGATACAAACACACATATATATTATTTTTCTTTTCTTTTGCTCACCAAAATAAGGAATCAAAGCTAAGAGTCAGTCATACTCTGTCTGATAAAAGTCTTTATTTGATCTTAAAAGGGGAAGTTGAAAAAGCATAAAATTCCTCTTCACAAAATTCTTCTCAGCATTTCTAGAGAATATTATTAAAATCACTAAATACAATTTTTTCATCAATTCTGATAAAAGATAACATCTAAAATCAAATATATCTTTACAATTCTCAATATTGTTAAGACGTCAAATTTCCATATCAATTAACAAATGAGATGAAATTCTAATAAAATTCATGTTGTTATTGTTGTTAGGTGCCGGCCATAAAGTTGACTCTGTCTCATAGCAATAATAAAAATCATAGTATTTTCCATTTTCCCTCTATTTCAATTATAAAAGTTTACAAAGCAAATTGATTTTTCATTCCATCATTTACACACATTTTGCTTCATAATATTAATTAGAATACTTACAGGTGCTGGAGAAGAGTCTTGAATATACATACCATGGACCACCAAGAAAACAAATAGGTCTGTCTAGGAGAGGGCAAAACTGCTCCATCTCACATACTTTGGGCACGTGGCCAAAAGGGGCCAGTCCTTGGAGAAGGACATCATGCTCAGAAGGGTGGAGACACAGCACAGGAGAGGAAGACCCAGGATGAGATGGATTGATATAGTGACTGGGATAATGGGGTAGGTATGTTGTTGGAGTCGGACTGGCTCAGGATAGGCCAGGCTCAGAGCTATGGTACATATGGTTGTAGGCAACTTGACAGCACATAACAACAACACAATGTAGCTTCACGTACGTTTTCTACTTCCTCCCCATGATTCTTATTACAAATTATCTCTCCATTCTATCCTTTCTTCTTGCCTTCTGAGCTTTAGCCCTGAGCAAATGATGCCCTCTTGATCATACATGGTTGATCATTCTAAGGAATGAGTACCACCTTTGTGTAACTGATCTTAAAAGACACTGTTTAGCTGAAAGTTGAATCAAAGGGCTAAATCTTATTCCAGGTGCGAAGGGTGAATAAGGACCATAATCTTAAACTTGTTCTTCAGTTCCTTTGGCTTAACATTAGATTGATGTTGGCCAAAAATAGAGAGTACCAGAGAAACATCTAACTGTGTTCCATTGAGTATGCAAAGACATTTGTGTGGATCGCAACAAATTGTGGCTAACCTACTCTGAGGAGAATGGGAATCCCAGAACACTTAATTGTGCCCATATGAAACCTGTACTTGGACCAGGATGCACAGTCAGTATAGGGCAAAGAAATACTGCACGGTTCAGAAGCAGGAAAGGTGTATGTCAGGGATGCATCCTATCTCCCTATCTTTTCCATCTATATGCAGAACAGGGCTTTATAAAGAGGAATATGGCATCAGAATTGGAGGAAGACTCAACAACCTGCATTATGTAGATGATACAACCTTGCTTACTGAAAATAAGGAGGACATGAGGCATATGTTGCAGAAGGTCAAGGACTGTAGTCTTCAACATGGATTGAAGCTCAACATCCACTGGACCAATTGGCAACTTCATGATAGACGGAGAAGAGACTGAAATAGTTAATCATTTCAGTATATTTGGTTTCACAATGAACACTTTGGCACCAGCAGTCAGGAAATCAAAAGACAAATTTCATTGTGAAAGTCTGCTGTCAGGGACCTCTCCAGAGTAATGAAGAGCTATGTCAGTCTGGAGACTAAGGTGCACCTGATACAGTCATGGTCTTTGCAATTACTTGCTATGCATCAGAAAGCTAGACAATGTCTAAGGACGACAAAGAAGAATAGATGCCTTTGAATTGTGGTTCTGGAGAAGAGTAGTGAGCACACTGTGGACTGGCAGGAGAACAAACAAGGCAGTCCTACAGAGGGTGAAACCAAGCTGCTCTCTGGAGGCAAGGATTTTTGAAGCTCCATCTCACATACTTTGGGCACAAGGCCTGGAGGGACCAGTCCTTGGAGAAGATTATCATGCTTGGAAGGGCGGAAGGACAGCAAAGGCAAGGAAGACCCAGTATGAGATGGACTGACTCAGTAACTAGAGAAGCAGGACTAGGTCTGTTGGAGACGATGAGATTGGCTCAGGATAGGGGAGGGTTCAGAGCTGTTGTACAAAGGGTCACTATGAGTTGCAAGTGACTTGGTGACACATAACAACAACAGAGCTGAAGAAAATCAAAACACATCCACAAGAACCAAAATATGATCTTGAAGCTATTCCATCTAAATTTCAAAATCATCTTAAGAATAGGTTTGAAGCATTGAATACCAATGATCAAAGACCAGATGAGTTGTGGGATGGTGTCAAGAATATCCATTAAGAGAGGAAGAGGTCATTACACAGACAAAGAAGAAAGAAAAAACTGAAATGGATGTCAGAAGAGACTCTGAAATTTGCACTAGAGTCGAGAAGCCATAACAAAGGGAAAACATGCCAAAGTGAAAGAGCTGAACAGAAGATTTCAAACGGCAGCTCAAGATAGCAAAGCAAAGTATTATAATGGAATGTGCAGAGAGCTAGAACTGAAGAATAAAAAGGAAATAACTCACTCTGTATGTCTAAAGGTGAGAGTACTGAAAACCAAATTTAAGCCTCTTGTTGCAATATTGAAAGATGCTATGAGTAATATATTGAATTGTGGTTCTGGAGAAGAGTAGTGAATATACTGTGGACTGGCAGGAGAACAAACAAGGCAGTCCTCCAGAGGGTGGAACCAAGTTGTTCTCTGGAGGCAAGGACTGAATGATCTAAAAGAAGATGGAGCAAATACACAGTCACTGTACCAAAAAGAACTAACTAACAATGAAAAATTTTAGGAAGTACCGTATGAGGAAGAGCCAATGGTAATGAAAGAGGAAGTGGAAGGTGCATTGAAGGCACTGGAAAAACAAAGTCCCAGGAATCAACTGGATACCAATTAACATGTTTCAATTAATAGATGCAGCCTTGGATGAACTCACCAGTCTATGCCAGGAAATCTAGAGGAAAGCGGTCTGGCCAATGGATTAAAGAGGTCCATATCTGTTCCCATTCCCAAGAAAGGTGACACAACAGAATGTAGAAACCACTGAACAGTATCATTAATATTACATACAAGCAAAATACAGCTGAAGATCATTAAAAAACAGCTAGAACAGTATACAGGTAGGGAACTTCCAGAAGTTCAAGCAGGATTTAGAAGAAGCCATGGCACCAGAAGTATCACTGCTGATAAGTAGAGGTTTAGTAAATACATATATATTTATATACTGATTATGAATTTTCTTCAAGCTGGTACTTTGTCACCGTGTATAAAAAAAATAGAACTACCACTATAGATATATTAAGAAGTGGGCATTATTAAACTCAA